ACCTCTCTATTGCCTTTTCAGTCCGAAGTASCACCTGGTGGCAAGAGTTATTCTGCGCTGGATTTCRAGACTGACGTTTTTGTTGGTGTTAAATCTAGTTCAAAGRTGGACGAAATTATCTACGACTTCGAAGTTATAACTGTCAACAGTGACGTGGGGGCCTAGTTGCGACGCGACGACTGTTTGTTTGATGACGAAAGATATTTTGTCTTACCCTCTTTCAATACCAGATCTATTTGTTTCGCTTCCTTATCTATTCTGAAGAACTAACGGTACGTCTGTTGAGGCCAATGATATAGGTGTCATCGGCGTACGCCAGCAGTTGTACATTCTTATAGAAGATTCTACTTGCTCGATTTAGTTCTGCAGCTCGAATTATTTTATCCAAGAGCAGATTGAAGTAGTCGTACGATAAGGAGTCGCCTTATCTKAAATCTCGTTTGGTATCGAACGACTCGGTGAGGTCCCTTCCAATCCTGATCTTATGGGATTGCTCAACGTCAATTAACACAATATTAATTTTGCGTGGATACGAAATTCAGACATCGCGACATAAAGCTTTCGTGCTGTCAAAAGTAGCTTTAAATTCGACGAAGAGGTGGTGTGTGTCGATCCTCTTTTCACGGTCTTTTCCAATTCTTAGCATATGGTGAATATCTGGTCAGTTGTTGATTTTCCAGGCCTAAAGCCACACTGACAGCTTTCACATAATACGCTCAATAGAACTAGAAAGAAAATCGCGTTCAGCACCTCCTGATGTTAAGCTTTTCAAAGTGTTCCCTGCTTTTCGGTGTTGATTTTTTTATCTGCAAATGACGCTCTCTTTTCTCTTCAAATTGAATCATTATGTTACTGATATTCAATCAAATTTAACCTGGACTGACAGTTGTCTATACATAATGTTCCTAGATCTATGTTATAACTCCTTAGTTTTGTCTTATCATACTTGGGCCATATCTGCTTCGCTATCTTCCAGTTTGTCATTGATTTCCATCTTAGCAATTTATACAAAGTGAGTATTAAGCTCTAGTTTGTCAAAAAAGTCTTGCGGTATTTTTATTGAATTCTCAATTGTTCATAAAATTTTTTTTGATGACTCATGCCCAGCTCTTGACCGATGCTGCGGCTGCTCCTATGCCGGTCTCTTTCGACCAATTCAACGATTTTATCGCAATTTTCGACGACAGGCCTTCCGGAGCGTGGCGCATCTTCGACCACCTCTACACCAGAACGAAAACGTTGAAACCATCGTTGTACGGTGGAAATGGAAACTGTATCGAGTCCATAAACTGCACAAATTTTATTGGCGCTATAACTCACGAACGACTTAAAAGAAACTACGAAATCAAACACGTGTTAGCGCGTGAAATGAGCTCTCCAAAAAGGTATAGCATGACCCGATGCGACGAATAAAACTAGAACTACGCGCTCTCAGCGCCAACTAGCAAAAATACCGCAAGACTTTTTTGACAAACTTTTTGTTTAACTAAGAACATAAGCATACACAAAGYATTCAATGAAAGGCGTGAAGTCTTCTAAAACTTACCTCATATCCCTCCATCTCTTTTAGGAACGATAACATCGAAAAAGTTACAGAAACATTGCTTGAAAATCGGTGATATCTGTCTCTTATACACATCTAGATGTGTATAAGAGACAGGGCATATATTGCATCGAATACTCACAGAGCTGGTGTGTTTTCATCCATGGAAGAGATAATGCTTCAAACCTGTCTCTTATACACATCTAGATGTGTATAAGAGACAGCTTTCCAACAGGTCTCCTCTTCCTTTACTTTTCCCGGCATATATTGCATCGAATACTCACAGAGCTGGTGTGTTTTCATCCATGGAAGAGCTAATCTTTCAATCTAGTTCTATKTTTTGGTCGTTATTGTTTTGCATATCGCGCTGGCAACTCTGAAAGTATATTTTTTSACTACTCCTAACATGAATGCTCCTTCATGGCACTGCCTGTGGCAACAGCGAAACTCGTGTAAAAGAATTTGGCGAAAGAGCGACATAAAGCATACGGCGAGTGGCACACAATGCAATGTCAATGCATTTTGCACACATGTGCAATGYGTATATACTTGCATACACATACATACTTATATACTATATACAACGGCATACATTTAGCAATTGCCATCGCCGCCGTCGGCTCACTACTACATACGAGAACATACGCATACAAGCACTGTATGTGTTCATACGGCTATGTTGTGTATATGTTTATGTGTGTGTGTGCCTTTGGCATTTTTCTGGTTGTTGGCAGCAGCAGCGGCAGCAACATGTTGGAATGTTGTCGCTGCCAGTTACATGGCATTTGCTTTTCTGCTACTCTTCTGYTGTCCGCTACAATACATACATATATTATCATTGTTTTTATTGTTGTTTTKCTGATTACTTTAGACATTTCTTATACATTCGCTTTACATTTAGTTTTCGTAATCTAATTTCCACGCTTCTAACTTTGCTTGTTTAACTATTTTCATTTTTTTAAATAAATCGTACGTTTCTCGAAAAAGTAGTAGGTGCTGGTTCTGAACGATCATTATTATTACTCAAAAATTAGAAAAACCTTTGACAATAGTTCTCTCAAGGAAATGTCGGGCGGGTTTTAGGAAACTTCAATATTTAATTATATTTTGGATTTGTAAAATAAAAATTATTAAGAATCTCAAGAATAACTCTCTGGCGTTAACTGGTAAATTACGTATAGAAATTACGTATAGAAATTTACCAGTTAACACCAGAGAGTTATTCTTGAGATTCTTAATAATTTTTATTTTGGTTTTAAAATTTCAAAAGGATTGGTGAATGAAGATAGCTAGTGGCGATCCAGCGACATTTAAGGCAGCTTACGCTCAAAAGACGATCCTTACTTCTATATGGCCTTTYTCACAAACCCATATATTCAAAGCTGGCAAAAAACCATATTGCCAATATAAAATTTTAACGTTTTCCACAATTTCTGAAGAGTTAGTTACTCTAGAACGGACCAAGACCGATAACTCKGCACTAAATATTTTTTAGAGATATTCTGATATTTGCCGTCATTGAACTGACTTCATATTGAATTTATATACAATGGTTGATCCAAGTAGARGTACTTTTTTCAAAAGCCTTTTKCTGACAGATCATGTGTGAGKCGYGYCAAGCTGTCATGTTATTTTTGTTCAGTATTTTTTGGCATTTCCTYATGGAAAGCCTTACGTTTGAAMAACGTTTACAAATCGTTCAACTTTATTACCAAAATTCACTTTCTGTAAGGAATGTGTTTCGCTCACTTCAATCAACTAATGGTAAACATAATCAGCCTATCGMGCGTACTATTCACAACACCATCACTAATCTTGAGACTCAGCATTCGTTGTTGTATAATATTCGAACGAATACACCACGTCCTGCACTCTGTGAAGAAAATATGGCAACCGTAGTTGAGAGTGTGCACGAAGAAAGTGGAGAGTGGATTCGGCGCCGTTCGTAGCAACTCGTACTGACGTATGGACTTGGCGCATTTTACGTCGAGATCTTAAATTGACAGCATACAAAATACATCATGTGCAAGAACTGAAGCCCTCGACTCAAGCGACATCGCCTCGCCCTATGGGCTCTTGAAAAGTTCCAAGAAAATGCAACTTTTCGAGCCAAATTTTGTTCAGTGATAAGGCCTATTTCTGGCTTAATGGGTATGTAAACAAGCAAAATTGCCGCATTTGGGACGAAGAGCAACCTGAAGAGATTTAAGAGCTGTTATTTCATCCAGAAAAAAACACACTTTGATGTGGTTTATGGGTTGGTGGAATCATCGGCCTGAGATTGAAGCTCATGGTCTCGGCGACATTTGGTTTCAAGCAGACGGCGCCACTTGCCACACATCGCATCAATCAATTGATGGAACACTTCGGTGAGCAGTAATTTCATATTTTGGACTTAAAGTCTAACATCAATTATGCTTCGATTCAGGCCCTGGAGTACAACACTATGCGTGTCCTTTGCCAGTAACCAGTCGAAAAACGTTGACCACTTAGTGTATTTTTTACGGGAGTGGAAAGAATTTATTCGATGGCAAATCTGGACTATACAGTAGCAGTTCATCGATGCACTGTTGTTGCATTCGCCATTTTGTTGCATTTTTTGGTCGGATGAATATTTTAAGTTACTGTAAACAACACCAATATCGCTCATTTAACAAAACTTTCTGAGTATGTATAACATCAAAAATATCAAACTTTACAATAGAGCTGTGCGTTGCCAGATTRGAACACTAGGATTAGCAAAACCCGAAATGTAGAAAGCAACCTACGTAATATTGATTTCGGGAGTTACTATTAATGAATCGCTGGATATTATTCGACYYCTACTGGCTAATATATTAATATTCTAAGRCAATATAGTTTTATTAGAGCAGTAAGCCGTAAGCCCTGGCAGCTARTGCTTCTTACTCCGTAAGATAATARCTGTATTATTATTTTTCATTTAATAAATAARTAAATAAATATTCGACCTATATGTCGCATGTTTGTAAGTCCTAAGTAAATGTTTTTACCATTATAACCACAYATCCCATTAACCCTCCAAATAATTCTAACGAAAGACAAGGTATTTGGCAAATCTTAAGTTTTTAAAAGTTGCTTTTTAAGTTTGACTGAAAATGGGTTCCACGGAGCTTCAATTTCAATTTGTAGAACAAAAAAAAAAAAAAATCACGACCAGGCACGTCTGGTGAATGCGTTTTTGGCTTTAACTTCGGTCACAATGTTGGCTAGATGCGATGGTGCATTATCATCATGTAAAAAACGTGAATTTTTCTTTCACAATTCCGGCCGATTTTGACGAATGTTCTTACGCAAACGGCTTAAAACGAGAGAACGCCTTGTTCTATATACGAAATGTATATATCTTAACTAATCATTTATTATATTTATTTCTACTTGCTGCCAATATTTTAATAATAATTTTACATTTTTTTTTTATTTTACTTTTTTTTTACAGTTCTTTCAATGCATTAAAATCGGGTATCAGCGCAAAGAAGTTTAAAATTGTCCTTAGAAAAATTARCAAAGCCTTTAGTGCTGTAAGAAAATTGTTAACGAAAGCCTTAAGATACGTGATTTCTATTATTTGTGCCCGCTGTGGCACCAAAAACAGCAAGAACCAACGAATATTTTTCCAACTGAATTTGAAATTATGCAGCATGTAAATCAAGGTGAGTGAAAATATTACAGCAACCTTATATAAGACTATGATACGCGCAAAAAAAGCACGTTTTAACCAAACTTTTATAAGCCAAATCTGCAAAAAATATATATATAAAATCCATCAGAAAAAAGCCTAAAATATTTCGTTTTGTTCTGTCTATTGAGCAAATTGTTGCGTTAATGTAATTTAATATTGTAAATATGGATGCAAACCTCACACTAAATGTTAATAAAAGCTTACTWAMTTTAAAACAAAATATTACAAAATCRCAAGCTGAKCGYTTTAGCATGGGTGTGGAACCGCATTCTGTAGACAAAATTAAAAACCAAAAACAACAATGCACTACGACTCTGCTGGCTTGCAGCGAGCGCACCCGCTGTGTTGTGAGAAAAATTAAATTGAAATTTGCACGTAAATAGTTGAGACATTAACTCATTTTAGCAAATGTTAACAAAATATATATAAAAAATTGTAATAAGAAAATAAAGGCGCATTGGCGTTGACAACGGCAGCTACGGGCACAACAATGGAACCAACCCAGAACACAGGCAGAACAGCAGGCGTTCAAACAGACATGCAGACGGTAACCGGCAGCCGACAGTCGGCAGCGGCAATGCAGCAGTTGATGTCATATTCATGACAATTTAATAACAATTTCGTGCCATTTCGTCATGCCACAACTAAGTGACAAATAGCAAGCAAAGATTCAAATGCCTGCAAAGTATTTGCAAATGCCTTGCAAAAACTTAAATTAAATACCACGCGACATACATATTTGCTAAGTGAGCTCATTGACAGTGAGAAATTTGTTTTTAATGGCGCTCGGTTTCGTTTTCACTAACTTTTTACTTTTTTAATTGAGAAAAATTGTAAAAAATTTGAACTTTTACGTTTGCGTTGAAGTCTCAGCTAATAACAAAAGACTTAAGCAACGAACTTTATGGCATTTCATTTCCAGGTCGAAATAACAAGTTTTAAAAATGTGGCCACATGTTTCGATTTTTATTGAATTACACATAATGTTAACATGTTATTTATATCGTTGCCACTTAATTTTACTAAATGTAAACATAAAAACAATTTTTAAAATTTAATTTTAAAATCTTTGCAAATTGATAATATTTTTTTTAACTGGCCAACGCTATAAATTATTTGAAAAAAAAAATTGGGATTGCCACCTGCCTGAAAATGATAAAAAATATTTAAAAAATTGAAAAATGAAACTATGCAAAGCACTGTAAATACATTTTTTATAAGTTTCAGTTGAAATATACATACATATATGGGACCAGTGTTGCCACCCTAACTAAATTTGGAAAATGTRTGAATATATGTATAATTGAAAACACACTAAGAAAAATAAACTTTCTAACTTAGTAAAGAATTTTTATCAATTACTTTTTATGTCGTTGCCACCTAATTTTCTAATTTTAAATAAACAAATAGTTTTTAGAAGTTGATTTTAAAATAGCCTTAACCAACTTTTGCAAACTATTAATATTTTTTAAACTTGTCAATATTACACATGCAAGCAAAAGTATTATTTTACGTCATAATTGTTTTGAAAAAATTATTGTGGTTGCCATCTGCCTGGATATAACAAAAAATATTCAAAAAGTTTAAGATCAAGCTATGCAGTTCAGTACAGGTACATTTTTTGTTAAGTTTCAGTTGAAATATGTATAGCACCAGTGCTGCCACCCTAACTAAATTTGAAAAATGTATGAATATTTAATTATCAATTAAAAACTAAAAATAATAAATTTTTTTCGCTAATAAAGAATTTTTAACAAATTTGGTTTTTGGCGCTGCCACCTAATTTTCTAATTTTAAATGAACATATGATTACCCAACTTTTGTTAACTGAAAAACTGTTTACAAAATTTTAAAATTTCCAAAATACAAATTTTTAAATAACCAAATTATATTAATAAAATATTTATTACTTCATTTTTCATTCAGCATTACAAATCCGCGCTTCCATATACCAAAACTATGCTCAATGCACAAACAGTAGCCAATATCGTTCTAATTACAGTTGTTAATTAATTTTCCTCCCTTTTTTGTTAAAAATCGTGCATAATTATTACAGGTTTATTGGTGTTTTTGTAATTATTATTGTTATTAGTTGTTGTTAATATATCCACAAGTATGTAAATCGTGTAGTAAAATCTACTGATGGCGASAGCGCCTGCGCCAGCGATGACGMCAGCGACGACATATTCGTCGACTGTGGGCGGGCGCCACTCGTCCGGTGGCACACGAACAAAACGACAAAGCTGATTCCAATCGACCGATATACCCACATACGTCTTGAAATTTCAACACACCGTCATGCAGACAAACTCACATTTTTGCTTAATTAAAGCAATCGTGAAAATATTATTACTTGAAATATGAAAAAAAGGTGGCAACAACTTGTCAACGCGCTGATGTTAAACACAATACGGCTGCTAAGCTAATTGGCAATGACAATGCGCGGGAATTCAACTGTGATTTCATTTATGAAAATTGTTTTTTTTTTTTTTAATTTTGATAAAAATGTTTTTTTTTTTAATTTCAACCTTTTTTTTATAAATTTTTTTTGTTTTTATTTTTTATAATATATATGTATATATATTTTTGATTTATTTTCACATTTCAATACCAATTTTTAATTTTTTGTACGCCATAATAACGGCACATTGCGCCACTCACCCTTTTGACTCAACTCTCACTCTTGCTTGGCCCGCCACCGTTTTAGCGCGATCTCACCTCAGCCCGACACAATAAAATTCCATTTCCAAGCACCTACATACAGGCATACATACAAATGTAAATATATTTCTGCTGTACATTTTTATTACTTGACTTATGACTTTCAGACTTTACGATTCCGCCTTTATGTTGTGTGTTGATTTGTTGTGTGTTTATATTTCATTGTCGTGCGGCAGTCGAACTGAGGTGTCTTATTGTTACATTGTCTTGCTGTTGTTGGTCCATACCGACCGTAATGTGTGGGCTCAGCAGTGAAATATGTACGAATATCTGATATATGTATGTACGTCTGTAAATCTACATCTTGTACAATAAATATTAAATTTTAGACAAATTAGAAGCCAAGTTGAACTGTAACGCGCTTCTCAAAGCCCTTACATATGTTGTTTCTTAACAATAACTCAACTGGAGATCAATAGCGTTGTTAACAGGGAGAGAGTTTTATTTTACAGTCTCTCAAGTTGAGAAATTGTTGCTTTGATTTGAAATCAAGTTTGTTTAAATAAGGTTAGAGAAATTATGTAGGGTGATATTTGAGGAATGGTCTAAACTTTTATAGTTTTGTATAGCTTTCTCTCAAGGATTGTAGAAAATGAACATTAGGGTGGGTAAAAAAGATGTATATTTTTTGCTTGCTTGGTACTTTGAGAAATAGGTGGAAGTCTTCCACTTMMTCTGCTTCGTCGTACTCATTCAACTCATTGTTTCATCGACTACGGTACTATGGTTCTTTCACAGGTCGGTGGTACAGACACCTCAAGCTCAAGAGATAACTGTCTATCCATTTCTTTGGTCAGGTTAGGTCCAAACGGTCCCCAGGTCTGGATAGCGGAGAGCGGAGCGGAGGGTTGTGAAAGAGCTTGAAAATGTATGTAGTACGTAGTATTGAGGAKACATCGTTTTATGTTYAGAATGTTGTTAGGGAGAACGTCAACAATTATGTCCTTGGTGTATTTGTTGACTCCTTGGGGGCATTTGACTATCTAAGCTGAGATCGAGTGGTGAAATGACAGGAGCAGCTTGGCTGTCCAAAAATTAGTCTTTGCCCGAAACATTTTTCGGACAGAAAGGCCTCTATAGTCGGCGTGATTGGGAGAGTGGAGATCATCGGAGTGATTCGTAGCTGCCCGCAGAGTTCCATCTGTGGTCCATATATTTGGAATCTTGGGCAGCTGGAGCAAAACTGCAAGTGTTGTGTGTAAACGCACGACTTTCTTCTTCTGATCGAAAGATGCTCGCGGTCTGCGTCAGAGCGCGATGTAGAATAGGAATTGTAAATACTTGAGATTTCGGTGTGGTGGTGGACAAAGCGATGGAAAAATCGATTACAATGCTGCTTAAGGGAAAAATTGCCGCCGTTTCGTTCATATATTGTCTAGGTGCACGTTCTCAGCGTCAGGTGTGTAACGAAAGTTAAATTATGATCTTCACTGAGTGACTTGTGGAACTCAAGTACTTTAATTCGTATTAAAATAGACTATAAGAAAAACCTTTGCAACATATTTTTCGTCGATCCTGTAGCCATGATTTCACTGGAAACATAAAAGTCCCAGCAAACTCATTGCACCGATTTTTTTCCATGATAAAAGTCGTGAAACGAGCTTATCGCATCAGAAACAAACAGCAYGACATATGGAGATCAAATTTCACAYGAACMACCAATTTTTGAATTTATTTTCTCTTAATAACATTACTTGTATGAGATTTCCTACAGGGTATGCTGCAGCTTACATACTCAACTGGAAATTAAACACTTTGTGCTTTATGCCGACTTTCACGGACTTCTTCTAATTAAACTAATTTTCTTAAATAATATTATTTCAATATACARAATTATTTTTACGCACCCATCTCCAGTGGTCTTTTTACAATCACATTACAATTTCATATACAAATCCTTGCTTTACATGAAGCTTAAARACCACATTTCTGTACATATTCTTATAAGTGTGTCTTGAAGTATCTATATAGATACAAAAGCAACTGTAGACCTACATATGTACCAYCAGTGACATCACTTAACAAGCACTTCAGACACGGCTCGTATATAGCACTCCCTCCTTTACTTTAAGCTATTCATCAAATTCATAAGTGCTTATGAACAAACATATGTTTTGCATGTTGAAACGKAAACGTTTTAAATCAACAAAATCACATCAATAATACACACAAACAAAAAATACAGGCTGAAGTACTTTTGCACATATGTTTTCATGTTGTCAATATTTCGCATGCCTGTCAGATTATGTA